TAGTGTTTTTCTCCACTATTTATTAATATTTTAGTATGCACATATTCTATCGATACTAAAGTTAATTTATAAACGGCAAATAATCATAATATTCATGTTTAACCGGTAAGCTGTTAAAAAGTTGGGTAAAGTTTAGCGTATACTGTGTGCCTTATCTTAGTATTAAAGTTATGCTAAAGTGATAACAGTATCGTGATATTTATGTTAATCACGTGTTATTTTCTAACACTTCTTATCACTTTGGTAAATGGCAAATCTCAAACAAATTAACACGTTTGAAAACAATTTATTACTAATCTGTAAAATATTGTTAATAACTTGTACTATTCTACCACTAAAGCAAGTAATTTGTTCGTGCAGTAACCATTTGCCTGTAATGATTTCTTATAGGGTTTTAATATGTTTTAACACAAAATGATCAATCATTTAATAGCAATTGATGCAGCACATTTTTCATTTTGGAGTGTTCAACATTACAATGTAAGAAGGCATCTCCACCTAGGGTCCTATTTTATTTTCAACATAGGTTAGGGAGACCTACAGCGTAAAACTTGAAGCTACTTGGACGATAGAATTATTTTATTCCATTGCTCAAAACCATTCGAGATTAACAGAATTCAAACGGATTTTAATTACAGAATGTTTGCGATCTTCCCACTATCACTACACTGGCCGAAGCATATGTATCTGAATTTGTAAGTGAAGGAATATTATCATAGTACAACTTAAATAGATCCATCAAAGTAATCCCGTTTTTCACATAGCAGATCATATTACATTACAAAAATAAGCTTTTAAAATTATAATTCGGTAACGTAAATCAAATAGTACCCTAATTCTTTCAAAACATAAACCCTTATACGAGCAATTCCACTCAGGATGCATTATCAAAGCATATAAAACCAATATCCTTCAACTTAACTGACCTCTGACAAAACAGCTGACAAAACCAAAACGTTAAAAAAACCGGATGGAAGTAACGACCCCAATCTGATGTTAACGGCTAGTCCTTGGTCGTTGGAACGGGCGGATAAACCACATAGATGTACATTGTATCTTTGTATGTAGCACTTGGCAGAAGTGGCAATAAACAGCTGATCGAGACTTGCAGTTGCGAATGTGTGGTGATGCATTTACGGGTTGTGTATTTCAGTACTGTGTGTTTTAACTGAATATAATTCAAATTACAACAATGTTCATAATGCAAATGTCTTCTACAAAGTTTCAATTTGATATTACCTATAATAATTTTGTTTCATTGTATCTTTATTCTTTACTACTTTTAATACTAAATGAAGATCAGATTCGTCCAATCAGGTTCGATGATAGACTGAAATGTACATGTAGCATACAAATTGAACATTAAACGATCGGTAAAAAGTAATTTTACCATTGATAAATTTAATTTTTAATAATTTTATGTGATAGTCAACTTGTAAACATAAATTCTTATTCCCAAAATAACTACTTTAGTTTGTGTGCTAGTGTTTATTTAATTTACTGTTTATTTGTTTGTGTTTACCCTAGTGATTGCCAAATAAATCGGTACAAAATTCAACCCTGGACTTTGGATACTGCAAATATACGTGCTCTGTTGTAAAATTTAAGGTTATGTCGAACTCGTTTTTCTCCAAATTCAACTTTTGCTGTATGCGCTTTTCTCTTGCTAAATCTCTTAACAAATAGTTTTTAAGATGGTGAAATTACAAGAAATAAATAGTAAACACGAACCTTAAAACTGTATTCAACTAATCTAGGTTAAAAAATAAAAGCTAACTATTTACGAACATCTCCACGTATTTTCATGCTACTCAAGTTCATTTCAAGCTACCGCACAAATCGACCCAGTTCACTTCTGGTTCGCGGGTAAACGCTTTGAGGGATCCTGCACTCAAAGTCAAGTGGGCCACTCAAAGCTTTCCAGAGTTCCATTGTCGGCTTCCTTTATTGTGATAGCTTATCAGTCAAGTATCCGATAACGCGGCGCCGCGGCGCTAGTGTCATGGCTGTGCGGCGCGATTAAATTAATAAAACAATTGGGTCAAAACGATTAAAAAGTTGTTACTGTTTAGGAATCAATGGCAGGAGTTAGTTTGACAAATACACAACTATCGTCGCTTACGAGGTTTCATTTATCTAGTTTTCTCAGGTATTTACACATTACGGTGGGAAGTGAACCACTCAATCACAGGATTATTACTTGGTAAAAGGTAATTGTTGATTAAAATTAAAATCGCCATAACAAGTCCCAATCTGTAATATCCAAGCCAGATGAGCCTTAAAAATAAATTCCTTGTTTCGTCGAGCACTAAATAATTGAAAAATTCAATGGTACTAGTTTTAGGTAACTACAGAATATACAGAGTATATGCTACAGAATAGTTCACAAGAAAAATATAAAATATTTCGGCTTTCTAAAAAGCGTCAAAGCTAGGTATAAAGTATAACGTATAAAGTATAAATTTAAACTTTTAAGCTTTACTTTTTTAAACTTTTGTCCGCATTAAGCTCCGATTTACGCACCGACTATACGTCATCCCAAATTGAGGCAGCTATAGACAGTGAATTAACAAAATAAACAGGTTTTGAAGGTAAAAGTAGTGATGTTATCCTGGAGTACTTCTATTCACCAATGACGAATTGTTACTTGTAACGCAATTGTTTGGAGCACACAAGAAACTTTTTAAAACCGTACTATTGTACTTGCACTAGTCTTACGAACGTCTTCTACAAATTGTACAAAAATCTGTTTACTAAGTTATCAAAAAATAGCTGTCCATTGGATTGTCAAAAAATCTGTTAGTTTACTTGAGATGTGTAAAAGTTATCAGTCTTTTAAGTGATCGCATCTATCATAGAATTTTTTTCTCCACAATAAAAATATTTTATATCTTCTCCTACAAAATAAATCCTCCCAAAAATAGACGGGTCATTCTCTGATATAGACGTTCCCGCCAATTTATGATACGGTCAACTTGAGCCCATTATAAATATTAACGGAGGCAATAATGCAAATAACACATTCTGAATGACGCGCTCTTCTGTAACGGAGCCTATACTTCCTCTTAATGTGACAGGCCTTAATGTGACTGCCTTTCTCTGTTTTTAAACTTAATAAGCTGAATAATTTGATTTATTGAGCTGATTAAATAAAATATGAATGATTACGTAAATGATTAATTACCATGAAGTTAACAAAACCAAGAAGAGTAAAACATTTTCATTCAAAGCTTATTAAATGTAAGGTTATATTAATTTTAGGGATAAAATAAAATTTAGTTAATCATACAAGGAAGTCTGAGGTTTTAACGATTCCAACATTTTTTGATGCATTTAATTAAAATCAAATTAGTAATTTAACTCATTGTATTTGAGTAAAGAGACATGTTGACGTTTTATAATTACAATTTAAACTTTGCGTTACTAATTAAATGTTATCCTTATATAGCATTTGAACATTGTAATCATGCTAATTAGCTAACCTTAATTTTAAAAATTAAATCAAAACAATATAATTAGTGCTCCTGTAATTAGTAAACATTAGAACTAATTTCGTCAAAGATATTTATACTGGGTGTGAATTTGCGTAATTTACTTTTATGATGAGCCTGCTTCAATATAAACTCAGTAAGTTAGCAAGTTCCAAAACGTTGAAGTTTAAAATTATGTGTCCAATAGAAAATATCTTGGTAGTGTATAGTGAAAAATCTTTCTAGCTATCACGGTTGATTATATTTTAATAGGGATTTAATAACATTTTAAAATGAACGACATTAATATATCAAACAAATATTTATTTTTTTGGACGTTTGTTTAAAAAATAATAGCGTTAGAGGAAAAAATTAGTCAAATTTGACATGGTAACGTCAATGGTAATGTATATATTAAAATTCTAACTTGTTAACAAATTAACTCTCGTATGTGATAAATATATGTGTTTTACTATTTAACACAACCTTCATTTCCTAATAGCAGAGGCTATTTCTAATAATTTTGACGTATATTTATAATAATTTAGTATTACTTTGGTTGTCTTAAAATGGCTTTAAGGGTCATAAATGTAAACCAAACAGAGAAACTCGCGATTAACCATCAATCAAGGTAAGATATAAAAGCCCGATATCGAACTGCCTTGGCGTATGTCCAAACGCAAGTCGCCAACAATAAACAATAAACAATCAGCTGGTCTGCAGAGAAAACAATATTTACAGCTGGTCTGTCAATCAATAAGTGTCAAAAAAGGTAATGGCCAATTTAAGTTGATTGTATATTAAATTTTTATTTTTATTTAGCTTAACTTTTATATAGTCTAAATTTAACATTAAACTTTCTAAAATGTCCAATGTATAACGTTTAAAAATAAGGTAGCCGGTTATAGAATTAATTACTTTTATTCTATGTATAAATAGCTTGTATGACATATACTGTAGGTCTACATGCTAATAAAAAGTGTATTTAATAACTGGTAGGTAATCTAGATGTATTGAGGTAAAAGTATGAAGGTACCTTATAAATTAAATGTTTTTTAAATTCAAAATTCATTTGATTTATCTCTTTGTTAGTCTAGTTCCAACAAACATTTTCCTGTGTTAGTATGCAAATCAGTAGACATTTTTAGTGGTCAACTGTTTGTAAGTTATTGGTAATAGAAGCCCTATTAAAACATATACAACCAACAACAATAACAATTTACTAAAGGCATTGTTGTGTTAAAATAACCCACAGCTATTCGAATTCATGAAACTTTCTTTTATACTGTAGGTTATTTAAGGTTAGCATTACGGTTAAACCCAAGGCATAACGTAAAACATTTTGTATATTGTCTTATATAACTTATATATTGGTAGTCGTATAACATAACAGGTCCCACTTCATGCCATTATAATATTTTATTTGAATAAAATAAAGCACAAAATATATTAAAAACAATTATTCAACATATTGCCACTTATAATTTTATTGATCTATTGTAGTTATTAGCGGTTTGAGGTTAGGTTTACCTGTAATCTATCAGCTGATCGCAGTAGTAAACACTGCCTCCTGTATCGCGCGTCGCCACAACACTGCCGACACATCGCACGACACCGCCACACACAAACCTAACCTCACTTTCCACTGCACAGCACCAAACGTCTGCGGAGACCGAACCGCGCGAACGGCCCGCGCACTCTTATATACCGGCTAAAAATACACACTGATGTCACATCCCAGCGCCGCCATTGGCTGCCGTTGACGTAATGCTGGCCGCTGATTGGCTGGCCGGCGAGCCCACCGATATCAGCGCTCTCTTGATAACGGCGATGGGGTGAAATATCACTGGGGGCGTGATAATTATCCTACCTGCCCGATTATCGCCCAATTTTCGATTTTGATAACCGCAATAGGCTTTAAAACTGTCGGATTTTAAAGAATGGGTGTCGTGATCGGGCTTTAATTAATTGGCTTTTTATTACTGGCTAACCCCTTGTTCAATTTACAGTTACTGTTTTTTTCGGGAGGTTGGAAAATGTCTTTTGTACTTTGGGGTGAGGGGTTAATTAGTGAGGGGATTTGGTTTTATGTCTTTATTAGGTTGATTGGATCTGTAATTTGTCGCGGTATAATTTACAGTTTCGACCTTTAGAACGATTATAAAGCTATTTTTTAATTTTGAAAATCGATATTAGTAACCAACAAATGACATAATTAATACAACAAGTGCAGCTCAATAAAAATCTGAATTAATTATTAAATTTATATACAGAATACACTGAGTAATTTAAGTAGACAAATATTTAATACATTAAACCGTTGTTTCAACTACCGCTTAGGCTACAATTAAAAATTAACTTTTCCAAATGATTAGTAAACGATTTTAAAATGATAACCAAATATGAAATGAATTTTGTTGTGCCGTTAAATGAATAAAATCTTCTACAGTTCGTACTGTGCTTTTTTACACCATGTGACTTGGTTGGAATACCCCGACAATTGTTTGAACAATTAACCTGAATACGATGAGTACTCAGTTCCAGGAAAATTTCCAGTCGTAATTTTCCCAACACAACGTCTCCCATACAAGTATGACAGTACTTTTCTTTGCTACAGCCTGTTCTTCTGTAAGTTTAGTTTATAAACAGCATCAGAAGGAATTCTATGTGTTACCGTTCTAAAAGTGTGAACGCACTACTAAATGTAAATATGAAATACACAAAGTTGTCCATCCACGCTAAACGAACTAAGAAAGATAATGAATTACTTTTTATAGATAGAAAAACATGAACGATGTTAATAAATGCAAAGGGAAAATATAGGGCCTCGCAGGCATATCTGGTCGTGTAAAACATTATATTGACACAGAAATTAAAATGTGATACAGTATTGCTTTTATTGTAACTTCCGTTATTGGTTGTTATTGGCGATTGTAAAATATTAAATTCATATTGTTCATTGTTATTTGTCTCCAGTTTATTGTTCTCACAAAAATATTTATCATGTTTATTGTTATTCATTGTTATTTATATTATTTATTGTTTTCTAGGTTAGTCCATGTACCATCTTCGTTATTCATTCAACTATGTATTTTCTTATCGTTACACAGTTCTTTCTTTGTCCAAGTTTTTCACATGTATACTTTACTCTTATTATTGTTACATTTGACATTCCTTTCATTGTTATTATTATGGGTTATCTAGTCATAACGAGCAATTTACAACTCAATCAAACTGTAAAATTGGTGTAAATCCGTTGGCAAATAAATAAATAAATATTATTCAGGGAGAGTCTAAACTATAGACTGTACCGACAAAATTCGATGGTACAATTTATGTTTATGTTATATAAAACCCCATTAACGGTTCATAAATCAAAAAATTATGGTTTATTGGTCACATTGAAAAATGCATAATGAATGTAAAAAATAAATAAAATAAGTCGCGTTCTTTGATGTAGGCTTACTAGTATTTTAGAAATACAGTACTTGACGATAAAAACTATAAAGGTTATCCAACAAGAAGGTAATTATGAAGGATGGTAAAATCTGAGTTGCAATACAGCGGTTAAATTGTACAGACTTTTTAAAAAAAAAATTTGAAAATAAAATGCAAAAATTTGATATACTTAGTATACAACCTGCCTAATAATTACCTAATCGAATATATTAATTACTCTAACCGTATTTTAAACAATCGGATTCCAACAAAATTCCATTTTTAAAGTTTAACAACATTCAACCAGAAAGTAGTCACTTACCCAGCAAACTGCTAAGATTTTCCTCTGGGACTCCATAAATAAACTAAACTCTATAATTGAAAAACTATAACACCCATCATCACGGGATGAGAATCATTTGATAGAGGAGATCCTAAAGTTTTGTTTGGCACAACTTTGGTAAACTTAGTTGCAAAATTAGCCTCAGACATTTTTAGATTTTAACTACATTGATCCATAGTGGTATTAACTTTTGAAGACTCAACATAGTGTATGAATTTATGAGATTCAGAGAGGTAAAAGTGTGTAAATAATTTTAAAACCGTAGTTAAAATTTTAAAATTATTGCTATATGCTAATTTTGCAAGGTTTACCAAAGTGGTATCAAACAAAACTTTATAGAATCTCCTCTTTCAATTTATTCTCACCCTGTGATTAAAGGTGGTATGGTTGTTCATTTATATAGTTTCAAAATTGTAACCATAATTTAGAATCACCCTGTATATATATGACTAAAAGAAGTGATATAATATGTTTTACCATTGACAAATAAACTTATCAAGGAATTATATTTACTGTGTGCAATCAGAAATACAAATCAGGATAAAAAGTATCCATTTTCACCTGCTTAAGAAACTTTGGTGCCTTTCTAATAAATTAAGAACCAACTAAAATGGTGTGTTAAGTAAAGTGATCCAGCTTGTCAGGTGGATAAAAAATATGTATCGAACAATAGAGTTGATATTGGAAAACCATATTGGTAAATAAATTAAATAAAAGACACTTCAGTGTATTGTATTACAAAAATAATTAAGTAAAAGTACTAAATACAAATCCAACTTGTATAGTTTAGTCTTTTATGGATATTATTGCACACTGAACACTAAAACAGCAATCTATTAATTTAATATTGTAACTTCATTTATGACTCCTCCCACCCATAGTATTAAATAAACATAGCTTCTCTCCCATAAGCTATTATGCTTGGAAGGTGGCCAATCCGTTGACAAGTCCTCGCGGTCAATGTAGGGACAGGGGAGTGCCTACGGTTGATTGTGTATTACAATAACTGGGACCATTGTTATTGAACATCTGTTGAACAGAAATTACTGAACAATACAATTGTGAACTAAGTTAGACGTTAGGTATGTGGTTATGCCGCCACCATGGAGTTCGGAGCCTACAGCTTATGAGCAGGTGAAAAACAAATATAATGACTATTTCCCAGTTCGTGAAAACCTGTTTTATGAACGAACTTGACCAAAGAGATCAAGGACCAAATGAGTCTGTCGGCAGCAACATGAATGAAATTGGCTGATAAATGTGAATGGTGTGACAAATGCAGCTTCAACAAGGATATTTTGTTGCTGAAATTGGTTTCAGGATTGTCGAGCAGGACATTATTGACAAAATTGCATCTCTATAAAGACAAGAATCCATAAGTACTCTTCAATCTGTAGCCATTGAAAAACAGCAGGGTGAAATTCGACAAGGAAAAGTGGGATCCGAGGATGCAGATGATCATAATGGAACGATTAGTAAAAATATGCAACTTTACAAGCGTTCCAGATGTGGTAGAACAGATAGATCACCGGGAAAACACTCAACCTACTGACTGTCCAGCAAAGAAGTGTCAGTGTCACGGCTGCAAGCAGATTGTACATTGGTGGCCTATGTGTCCTCACAAACGTCGTCCTTCTTTAAACCAGGTTGGAGCTGATGTTACTTACTACTCCCATGGAAGTGATGTGTTTTACTTATTTATGTGGAAGACAATGACCAGTATCTACACGTTTAATGCAGCTATGCACTCGGTAAAGAGCAGGATAAATCTTGAAAGGTTAAGTTCAAACCTCTCAAAAGCGAATAGGTGAGACAAGAGAAAATGAAATGACAGGAGCCAACCAAAAGTACAGCTTAAGGTTCGGTTCAAGGCAATAATATTATCTAGGAAATAAAAAATAATAGATCTGTTATGTGAGAAGAATTTTCTCTTCGTTGGACGAATCGCTCTACATAAGGTCGCACACAATTCTTTGAAGTAGCATTTTTGAAAAAAAAAAACTATTTTTCACGTCGAAAAATGTTCTTAACGCTAAACATACCGATTTTGGATGTATTATCTTCAAGGGTCATTTTAATACAATTCATTTTAAGGGGTAGTTCCTCCCTATTTATGTAGAAGGCATTTTGTTGTTCACTATTTGTTTCTAGCTATCTAATAATTACAAAATAAAAATATTTACTAACTGAACTACAACCGAAGCAAACCGTCAAATCGACCGTTTTAGAAAAATACTGTACATCAAGTTATCGAACGCACTCATTTTTTTTAATATTAAATTTTACTTCCACCTTTGACTATTGATAATTCATTATCCAATAGTCAATGCTTCCACTGTTCAAAATCAAGGATTTGTTTCCTATCTACACTAAAAATTAAACAATATTCATCTCCGACCATATGTTTTCCGATTAGATCATTGATAGACATTCCTAGTTGGATGGCCAAAATAGTCGTGCCCATAGAGCAGAGGCGTGAGTAGAGTGCTAATCTGTCTACAGTACGTGCGTTGCGTGCGAACGTTTTGAGAGGCTGGGGCTGCTATTTCCGCGGGAGAACGTCTCTTTTAGGCGGGAATGTTAAAAGTTTGCGGAATTTCATTCCATCTGCATTCTCTTTGTGATCCAGCTCTAACGGACTGTTTTCAGTGGCTTTTGTTTATTTTGTCTACTAATAGCTGGGTAGCTGAGTGGTATAGTGATCACCTGGTAGTTAAAAGGTCACTGGTTCGATCCTGAGAAATAGCAGCTTTTTGATGGTTCGACACTGGATCGAGCTGTCATTGATCATTGGGCTTTCGATAAATAAGTCCTGACCAAAGAACACAGCTGATCATAGTTTAGGGTTTCTTCAGCTTTGAATGCGGACCAAGCTAAAGCTA